CCTAGTACTAGAGACAATGGAAACTAGACAGCATTCCAGGTTCACCAGATTACAAATTTTGATCATGGAAAAAAATTGATATTTCATTAAAAAAAAAACAATTGTTTCATAACGATTTCTTCAGTTTGTGAATTTCACTGTTGTTCAAGTTTCAAAATAATTAAAATGAAGAGATGATAAAAAACTAGCTGCCAGTCTATTCAATAAACTGATTTTATTCATTAAGGCTGTAAGGATAGTTGATCGACAACGTTGATAGAGTCATCGTAGTGATGAATTTTGCCATAGCTGCTTTTCAATATCTTCGATACTTCTATAAATCGATTAATTGATAAATAAATTTTTCGATTTATCGCGGCAATAAAAGTTTGATGTCAGTAAAACGTAAATATCTTAGTAAAAAGTCATTTGTAATAAATCGTAGAAACAATTGTTTTTTTTTAATGAAATATCAATTTTTTTCCATGATCAAAATTTGTAATCGAGTGAAACTCGAATGCTGTCTAGTTTCCATTGGATCTATCACTAGGAAACTACGAGTCCTTCTAGGTCCAGCATTGAGTCCACACAAATATCGACATACGGCTCCCGGTCTATTACCATAGTAAAAAGTCGAACAAAATATAGGACAATTGAGCATGTCTGTGGGCAACACAAGAAGCAGTTGCAGCTCGTCTTACTGTAAAAGCCTTAACGGATTGATTAAATACATTCAATGAAATAGCAAAAACAGGTGTTTTTCATGCCTCTCATGATAGTAGTTATATCAATGGGATTGAACTGTTCGCTGAGGAAGATGTTGGACAGATCTGACTCCCTATATATATATATATTATACTGATACAATCTCAACCAATTGTAATTATCTATTTAGATTATTTACTGCACCTATCGTGTAATGAAAAACTATTGCAAAGATATTGAAGATATATAGTGGAACAATTAATCATAAATATGAACTTAATGTAATTACCATATTGAAAAGAAAGTTTTTATTTGAATACTTCTAGCTAGTAAATATAACGATTTTGACAGCACTCGATTTCTGTAGACATGTAATTTGATATGAATCAAAATAAAGGATGAACATTTTAATAAACAATCAAAATATGAGTTCTTTCCAGAGAAATACCAGTTTAGATAAGTTAATTCTTTTGTTTTGTCTTTTCAGAATCAATAGCAATGTAACAACTATGATGAATAAAATGTAAATGGTAGAGTCTATTTTACGATAGATAAATATTCGATATGTCATTTACAGTTCAGAATAGACCCTGAAAGTACATAGTAGGCTTCGCCTTTTAAGAATACTCTATAAAATGCGGTTAAATAATGTAATAGCTTTTTTATTATGTAGAAAAATGTGACTGCGAAATTTTAATACTGAATACAAGTACAAATTAAAAAAAACACCTATTTAATGTCGAACCATACTTCGTTCAATACCTTCACTTTGCCAATGACGTGCTTTTTCAAAGCCATTTTTACAACATTGATAATCTTCCATAGCTTGTTGAATTTCTAGATGAACACAAGACAAAAAAACAATACTTTTCTTTGAAATTAAACAATTTTGTTTACCTTCATTAGTATTCATTACAAATGGACCATGTTGAGCAATAGGTTCATTAAGTGGTTGTCCAGCAATAAGAGCAAATCGACAATCATTTTTATCACTTGTATTACGAAAATCTAAACCATCACCATTTTGTGATAGAATGAGTACATGATGTGCATCAGCCAGTGTTTTTTTCGAACCAAATTCACCTTGTCCACTAAGAATATAAACAAAAGCATTCCATCCTTGTGGTATAGCTTGAGTAAATACAGATGAGTTCGGTTTAAGTGTAAAATCAAGATACATTGTTGGTGTACGAGTGTATACAGGAGATTTGATTGACATTGATTCGCCAGCACTAATTTAAAAAACTTAATTATAATGATTTTATTGCATAAAAATACCTACATTATTTTTACATGTACTAAACCATCAGATGTTGCTGTGCGAGGAATATCTTTATCAAGTAATTCTTGATAATTAGGTTCGACCATTTTATATTTTTTACTTAGATTAATCCATAATTGAAGACCATGACCTTCACCAGAATCTTTTACTGGCATTTCACAATGAACAATACCACGACCAGCAGTCATCCATTGAAGATCACCTGGATTTATAACACCTCGTCGTCCAGTAAAATCCTCATGTTCCGTAGCTCCTGTCAACATATAAGTAACAGTTTCAAAACCACGATGTGGATGATCAGGAAAACCAGCCGGTGCTGAAACTCGAAATTCATCGAGCATTAGAAATGGATCAAAATTTCGTACCTAAAAATTATTAATGTCAATATTGACTTTTGAAACGTTAGAAAATTCAAAATTAATTTACATACTTGTGAAGTTCCGATCGATCGTCGTACTCGTGCACCAACACCTTCACCTTGTTCAATACTAAGAATCTTTTTTTCAACGTATCGTGTCATTATTTGATATCTATTGATAAATGTAGAAAAAAGAGCTTTATTTATACCGAATAGTTGTTTAATCATATTATATTCATGCTCATGTCTAGATGACGATGCATTATATTTTGAATTGAACCTTCTCATAAATGACAATGCAAAAAAAATTGACTCATACACCAGTCAATGAGTACTTGAATCAATAGAGGACTCTCCTATCTAGAAGTCAACAGAGAAATAATACAGTATACTCGGTGGAGCATTGAAATATACAGAAATCTCAAACTGAATATATATAGTCATCGGAAATAATGAAAAATATGTCATTACTATTACCCATGCCTATCATTCTGATCATCGAAACCGTTCAATTTATGCCGTAAACGAAAAGAAAACGAATTCGATTTAAAAGTAGTGTGGACTCGGCAATAAAATCGATGTTAGTTGTTGTCGTATCGTAAATGATCGCCGTAACGGCAGCTGCTTTTTTTCTGTTCGATTTATTACATTATTTTCAAAAATAAGTTGTCGAAACATGAATTTTCATTGAAAATGAATATTTAATTATTGGTTCAAAGATTCAATACTAACTAATTATTTTCTATCTTTTTTATTCTTGTGAAGATCTTCTATAGACATATATGTTTATTGATTGATTCTTCTTGCACTTTCGACTTTCATAGTACATTTCAGCGAAAATAACAATACTTGCACTTTCGACTTTCATAGCACATTTCAGCGAAAATAACAATACTATGTCACTACGAACATTGCTCAAGGTATTTTGTTGTATTTTCTTACTTAAAGTAAACTCCTTTTGAAACAAATTAAGATGAATACTAGAAGTTGTGATCACTTCAAGAATACTATGATGTCGAATTAAAAAAAAAAACATTTTAAAAATCATATTGAACTACAGCCTGATAGTCTCGAATTCGAGTTGAAAAATAATTTGTTTAATCATTTGAATTGATTCATTGTCTATCAAGCGCTCTAATCATCGAGTTCAGAAGTGTTGTCTCGATATTTATGTTTAATGAAAGCTATTCAATATTATCATCCTTTCCCATATTCATATTTACATCTTTCTTTGTCGACTTCTTCGCAATTCTTTGCATTCTTAATATGAAGTATAGTTTCTTTTGACAAAAGATCATTCCACTTGATAGTCAACATTTAGTTTGTAAATCACTATTTTATAAGACGTGAATAAGACCAATCGAAACATTATTGGCCAACGAAATAGTTACTATATATAGGTAAACATTCACACAAGAAAAACATAAGCAACACATTACAGTCATACAAAAACAAATCAAGATAAGACAAGTATCATAGATGTCTAAAATGATTAATCACTTGTATTTGCTAATAATTGTCGTCCTTTCAAAATAATGTTTATCATTCCCTTTGATACATAATAAATATCTTTTATTGCACACAAAAACAAAAAAGAGTGAATTTGGAAAAAAAAAAGACTACTACTTCAAGAAATACAGAGAAAAAAAAACCATTTCCTATTTGATCCGTTAACAAATAGCAAAATTTCATTTTTTTAAGATAGATTTACGAAAAAGAAACTATATCTAAAAATTCAAAAGATGGCGTTAGATGCTATTATACTCTTTTGACATACATATAAATTTTACAAAAGAAATTTTTTTAAATATTTTTTATTTACTAGAAAAATCTTATCTACAATAAATTTTTCGGAATTTTTCTAAATTTATTTCTATTGGTTCCATATGTTGTACACGACCTCAACAAAGATCAACGCACACTGTCAGTCAGTCGATATATGTAAAACCATTCATTCTTTCATTTAACCTTTATTTCTTTTGACGGAAAAGTTAGGTTTTTTTTATTCGTCGTCTATATTTCTCCCTCTCTTATTTATTTTGTACTATTCAATCATTCAAATATATAAAAAGCCTTGACAACAGTAACATTCAGTGAATTCCTTTCTATTTACAAGATTACCATACATAAACATTATTATTATCTACTAATATAAAATGGCTGATGCTAAAATTGATATGGCCTTAGGTATGATAAACAAAATTTCGTGCATAATTTTTGTAATTATGAATTATTCTTTTAGACGACATTATCAAAAAAAGTCGTAATGGACCAGGAAATCGACGTGGTCGAGGTCGTGGAGGAAATCAAAATCAACGTCGTGGTGGTCGTATTAGTAAAAATAATACTAATAATAATCGTGGCCGTGGCGGTAGTTTTCGACGTGGCGGTGGTGGTGGTCGTAATTCATTTAATCAACGAAATAATAATCGTTCGAATAAGTATGTATCCAAAAAAGAAAAAGAAAATTTTCCAGACTAAAAGTTCTTTTCTTTCATTTAGTTTTCGTCAACAACGTGGCCGTGGAAATACAATTCCAGGTTTTAATCGTCGAAGTACAGGTGGTGATAAACCTACTGCAACGGTAAATCATTTAATCAACAACTATTAAATACTTTAAAAAACGCTGCCGTCTAACATCCGATCCTTTCTTTTAATTGAATATATATATACATATAATCGAGTTGATTCAACAAATATCTATAAAATTTCATTAACAATGATGTATATATATACATTTATACTTGCGACGTGTTTCCCTGGGTACGAGTGTGGTACTATGATGATGATAAGTAGAAAATTTATGGATAGAGGACGGCAGCATTGAACTTCGTCTTGATTGGTTTCTCGTTCGTTCCATTCAGTACAATCCATTGAGTCGTGAGGTCAATCCAACAGCGTCAAAACAACAGCCACCACAGATTCAAATAACTCCACGAAGACAACAAGGTCAATATTCAATTTAAAAAAAAAAAGATTTTTGTTTATTGAATAAAATAAATATTCAATAGGTAGTGTATTCAATAAGATGCGAACAAATCCAAATGTAAATGCACTTCGACGACGTATGGTTGCTGCACAACATGCATTAAATCGTGCAACGAAAACACTTGCGACATTGCCAAGAATTAGACAACAACGACAAAGATTTCTTCAACAACCACCAAAACTTGTAAAATTTAAAATTTCATCAAAAAAAAATATATAATAAAGTTTTGTTTTTGTCTTTAGAGAAATATTATAACACGAACTAAAATTGGTGGTGGTGCTATACGAAAAAGGTTGAGTCAGCAAAAAAACAAGGATTTTTAATTCATTTTTAAATTTTGTTTCTTTTTTGTTTTGTTTTAGATTAACTAATGCTCGAAAAGTAAGTATTAAGTAAATACAATTTGAATAATTTAACAAATGAAATTCATTTTCAGCCAATTGGCCGTGGTGGAGCACGTCGTATGTTTGTTTAAAATAATGTTTGTGACAATATTTCTACATCAATAAAAGATTCTCTTTTTTCGTGTGTCTGTCTGTGTGTATCTATCTCTGTTAATCTTGAACTAAACAGTTGTTATGTATCACTTGTGTTTTGCTTTTGTTTTTTTTTTTTTTGTGTCATTTATATATTGCTAAAAGATCCGCCCCCGCACATTCAAGTAGCTTCTACAAAAAAAAAGAAAAACAAATATGAACTTATCCTCGTATTTACTCTTTGTATGTATATATATAAGGGAATAAAAGAAAAAACCAAACAAGCATGCAAGAATTTCTTTTTCTTTCGAAATTAATCACAAGATGAATATCATCAAATCATTTGTATAATTTGTTTTTTTGTATGTTATACCTTCAGATATAAATTTTTCACCAAAAACAAAAAAATGTTTGATGATATTAATCTCGTACAGTTATTAAGTTCATCTAAACCGATTGATATAGCTCGTAATCTAACTGATGAACAAATACGTTTAATATTGCCATCATTGATTTGGCTTGGTTTACAACAATGTCCAAAAAATCATCGTTTAACAATATCAGCACAACTTTTACAAATAGTTTCACGTTTTCATGATATGGATTCAATAATTGAATTATTTGAAATTGATTTTCATACATTAAATATAGAAATTAAACGTTTACAAAGAATTAAACAAAAACTTGTTGAAGGAGGACAACAAAATAGTAATGCGTTATTAAATCAAGAGATTATTACATTTGAACAAACAACAGCTAGAGATAGATGTAGAATTGTAGCACAAATTTTATTTGATAATTATGAAAAAGATCAACAATTAATAACAAGTAAGATTTTATTTAATCAATTAGAACGAATTTCGTCAAGTTGCACTAATTATCTTATCACAAATAGTATATTCTTGTTTTGTATAGGCAGAAAAACGTTTTGATTCTAGACTATCGCTCAACAATTTTTTTAGAATCCTCATTTCAGTCATGATGGGTGTGCTCTTATTATCTCATAGAGAATGTGTAATGGAATTTAGTTGAAAGTTAACTACGTCAAATATCACTATCCACTGATGGAATAATATCACAACTCGTCAATCGAATGTCTTTATGAATTTCAGACCGATTTCATCTCTGGTTAGTGTTACTTCTATCGAACTCTCATTTTGTAACATGTAGTAGTAGGCTAAATCAGAGAATAACATGCGACCTTGAAAAGAAGCGATTTTGATTTGCTTTATCAGAGCAAAAAATATATAATGACAAAACAGAAATGTTTCATAAAAGAAACAGATGTTCTATTGTAAGCTGGTTCATTGTTGAAAATGTTTACTACTCATATAATATTAGTCGTCGAAGGTGAAAGAAAATTTTGGCAGTTTTCATTTAATGTGGTTTAGAATTTCCATAAAATTTTTCTTCACTGGGAATAAAGGATACCTATTTCAAGTCATTGATGATGTATAATCCAATACTTACCTGTACCAAACTCAATGACTTTTAAGTCTACTTGATTGAGAAAATGTTTTGTAGCTGCTGGCGGCGATGAAAAATGTTTCAGTCTATGAAGCATGAATCTAAGCTTGGTTACTACTTTTCCAGACCTTGTGGCTTCTCTGCCAATATTTGTTTCTAAGAAGTTTAATATCAATACACAAATATAATAAACTGTTCAGAAAGAATGTGATTAAGTTCCTACAACGGTAATGAGTGGTCTAGATAAAGATAAATTTACAAAGCTGATTAGAAAAGATCAAACAATTATTATCCAGAAACGATGAAAATCTTCTGTTTGATTGGTCTAATGACATATTTTCCGTATTATAAGCTTTAGCTCGATAGTGATTACAAAACATATTGAATAAGCATTATTTGTTTTGTTTTCTGATTGTAGATTAATAAAAGTGGCAGTATAGGTCTTCTGACGGACATTGAAATTAGTGATTTATTCAGTGTGAGAACTGAATAGATGGTGTCCCTTCAAAGATTGAGTCAACCCTTCCCTGGACTTTATGATTATTGTACTATGTATCTGTGCTTCCAGAAATAGGTGTTCGCCCTTCTAGAAGAGAAAAGTTCGACAAACACACTCGTTAAAATAAGTAATAGATCATCCTTAAGTATTTATGATAAAAAAGATACTTCACAATCATGAGATGTGTTAAAGAATTTTGAATTTCATTGTTTCCAAAAAAAGAAAAACAAAGAAACTTAATTGCATAATTCATAAGTCTAAGAACTATTTTGCACATAGAGTTTTTAATTCAATATAAATTATACATTCTTGTATTTTACTTTTACGAAAGATCTTCTCGATGAGCCAAATCATGTTCGAATTGTCGGCGATGTTATCTGTGTACTGGTACTTCATTTATCTCATTCATTTAAATTTGATATACTTATTTCTAATCTTCTCTATTCAAAACATGCATATGAATATTTAATACGTCTTATTCTTAATATTCCAACATTAAAATTAACATTAGCTGAACTTATTGTACGTTGTTCACATAATGATGATATACGTTATCGTATACTTCATACATTTATTAAATTATATCCAATACATAAGTTACGTCTTTTACGTTTATGTCATCAACGACAAACACTTTTACCATTAATTCTTGATTTATTAGATTATTCAACAGTGAATATACTTCTTCTTATACTTTCAAATTCTAAACAACGAATATGGTTTAAAAAACATCAAACACCCGAACTTGTACATAATCTTACTAAAAAATTATTTGAACTCTATCGACAAAAACAATGTTCAATACATTCAATTTTTAAAATAACTGCAATTTTACATGTTCATTGTAATGCTAAGTAAGAAAAATCATAAAAATTCCACAAATGTTCTTTCAGTTTTCATTTTCAAAGACAACTTTCGAAAAATTAAATAATATCTATTCAGGATCTTTTTTTAATCTTGTGTTATTTTTGAGTAACATAGTGGATGTTTAAACGGTATTAAAATGTGATCTTCGAGGAAAGAAACCGATTTATTGCTTTGTATCTCGTGTTCGTTGTATCGGATTGTATTGATCTTTTTTTACATGAGGTTTTCTAGTTCAGCTTTGTGCAAATTGTACAGAAAATATTATGACATGGGAACATAAATGAAAACGAAGTGTCTTAGTATAGGAGTAAAAGTCTAGATTTGCCAGGGACCGTGACAGATATTAGTAGAACTCGACGAGTTCTAGACACTAATCATAGACGATCACAATTGTATTTTTGAAGGATTAAGTAAAATGAAATGTGTCCCAATACAACAATTTCCCTATACTCAGAAACAGCAGCTACATCGTATTTCACATTGTAATCCCGCCAGAGATGTCCATCGCGGCTGAAAACCTGCCGCGCCGCGGCATTAGAAAAAAAAGTTACCGCGGCACTGCCGCGCCGCGATGGCTTATAAAAAAAAGTTGCCGCGCCGCGATGACTTATAAAAAAAAGCTGCTGCGCCGCTGCCGCGATGGTTTTCAAAAAAATGTTTCGCATTTCACTGCTGTGACCGTATTAGACCAGAAATATTGGTACTAGTCCATCAGATTCATTCAGTCTCAGGGTGTTTCATTTGTAAACAATGAAATTTTATCAAATTCATGCAGTTTTTCAATGTCCTCGAAAAAAAATACTGCCGCGGTGGCGGCAGCGGCAGCGCCGCGATGGACATCTCTGAATCCCGCAGAGATTATGCTAAAAAATTTTCAGATGAATACTCATTTTTGTATTGTTTTTCGTTTCGTTCACTTTATTGATGTTCGCGATGATCCCTATTATATACTGACATTCTGTAGGTTTCGACGTATTGATAGTGTAATGAAATGATGCAACTCAATTCTCAAAAAGCTTTCATAGGTCTTTGGTTTTATAGTTTCTTTCACGATGTCATTTAAACTTCGGACGTATAATTAGAAAGCTCTTTCAACGTTGATTCTAAATAAATATTTTTCATTTTTCTGAAACTTATCTTTGTAGATAAAAATGAAGGATCTATTTAAATTTTAATTAATGTTTTTTTTTTCTTGTTTCTTTATTTAGATTTTCAACCGATGAAGTTCAACAATTACTTGATTTATTGCTTTCACCAACGACTAATGTAACATTAGGTTTATGCTTTTTATTTATGATTCCATCATTAGTTGAACGTAATGAACAAACAATTATTGAATGGCTTGTACCAACAATGTCATCATTATCAACGGATGATAAATTATTAATGATTGGACTTTTTTGTATGACAAATTATAATGAAGTAAGATATTTAAAAAGAAAATAATTTTTAAAAATAAAAAAAATTGTATTTAAATGATATTTAGCCATTAAATGCTCTTGTTTCATCAACACTTGATTTTCCTTGTCGAATTGATCCCGGTCCTTTTCATCATTCACGTCTTTTACTTATTCAACGTGTTTTTACAAATGATTTACTTGTTCAACGTTTTGCAACAATACAAATAACACCAAATTTAAATGCAAATATTACCATAAAACATATTCCAGCACATTTTATTTGTTATCTTTTATCAAAAGGTCTTTGTAATCAACATCATGTACAAATGAGTTCATGGGTATGGTCACAAATACTTCAATGCACAACACCAATTCATCCAATTATGTTGACACTTATTAATGAATTAGTAACAACAATTGTTGATACACGTTATGTATGGCATTTAACACAAATAGATACACAAATCATATATGATTATTTAACATCGTCGGAAGATCGTATACCAACAAAAATGCTTAGTTTACTTTATTTACTTACATTAAATGATCAAGCAACTGGTGATCTAGCTAATCAATATCATCAATCAACAAGAATACTTTTTGATCTTTTACCTTTACCACATCTTGTCGAACAATTAACAACAAAAGATTATGATGCTATAGCTCCACAACTTGGAAGGTAAATAAACAATTTTAATAAATCTTATTTAATAGCATGATCGGTCAGAGTTGAACAATATATCTAAAAATAGGAGCATTTTTCCTTTTATAAGAGAAACAACTCACGCTTTCCACTAAAGCCCGTCGGGTCCAATCCGATAGCCTGAACTTCACACAGTCCAGGAGAATTCTTTTCTTTAAAAAACGTAACTGTTACTTAAGTCTATTTAAGACAGAAGAAATCCTTCACAAACAAAAGTGAAAAAGATTTGAGCAGATAACAATAAAATTACTAATTTGTATCCTAAGGAAATGATATCTGTTTCAATTACAATATACGAACAAGAACAATAAATGATTGATATATGTTTTCTATTTTTTTTTCGTTCTATATCTCCTTCATATATATGACTTAATGTGAAATGAAGGATTTCTTCATAAACAGAAATACTTTCCATAGAGATACAATTGTGATTGCGCATCGATTTTACGTACAACTTTGTACTGATCTAAACATGGACATAGAAACTAACGGTGAACTCGTGATAAAATTCTTGTGATGTTGGCTTGATTTCGATTTTTTTCCGCTCTAGGAGAGGCTTAGTTCTCACGGTTTATTCATGTTTTGTAAAACTCATCTATTTTTTTGAAATAGATCTCTCTCAATCGAAAAAGTTCGATTATCAGTTATGATTATTCATTATTTATTCGATTCTTAGAGTGCAACATCGAAAATTCAAATTAAATCTTAAATATATAAACCCTTATATATTTTTTTCATTTAAGATTAATGATGGAACAGTTACCACAAGTATTTCTTGCTGATCATGCCCTTTATTTGGAAACAGGTATCCTTTCATTACATATAAATCTATGGGAATATATGAACATGAATTTTTCTCTTATATTTTAGATTCTCAATTGTTTTCATTACGTCATGCATATAAAACAAATAAAATTGAAAATTTAACTGATCAATTAAAAACTGCACTTATAAATGGTATTTCACGTAAACAAGCTGATCAATGGCGTCGTCGATGGTTTCGCGTTTATGCATTTCGTGGTCAATTGTACGTAAAAATCTAATTTTCTAATAAAAAAAAAACAAATAATTTTTTTTTTCAATAGATTAACATTAAAAACAGCTCAAATATTACTTGATAATAATCAATTAACTTATGATGATCTATGTGCTGATCCACATTGTCTACTTCGTTTTCCATTTCAACTTTATAAGTAAAAAACAAAAAAAAAAAACTAATCTTTATAGAATATCCTTTTTTCTTTTTCTTTAGTTATCCATCTATTATACAAATTATATTATTTATTATGAGAGAAATACTTATTGCCAGTCGTCATTATTTCGAACGTATTATTAAAGCAAAACAACAACCATTACAACAAACAGGTAGAATGAAATAAAAAACAAACTGAAATTTTTGAAAAAATTTTTCTTCATAGATATGATCTGTATACAAGATGTTAAATCTAAACAATTACAAGAAACATTAGTACATACACAAGAAGCACTTGTTATTCAAATTTTACTTGATGTTTTACATCAATATAAAAAAGTTTGTCATAATTTATAGATAATATTATTATCTATATATTGATCTTTTATTGAATAGACTGCATGTTTACCTGCATATCGAGAACTACAAGGAGTTGTTTGTTCATTTGTTCATCAAATGTTTATTACAAATCCAGTTCTTGCTAAACTTGTTCATTTTCAGGTAAATTTTTAAATTTATTTATATAATCCTAAGATATTTTTCCTTATTATTTATTATAGGGCTATCCATCAGAACAAATCAAACCTCTGATTTATAGTGTTCCATCAATGCATATATGTCTAGATTTCATTCCACAAATGTTAGCTAGCAGTGAACTCGATACACAAGTATGTTTAATAGATTATAATCTATGTTTTACGTTTGTTCATATTGCCGCAGTACTCATAAGAACCGGCGGTTTACTAGCACAACATCTGCTGAAGTACTGACTGCATTGGCACATTAGCTCTATCGAAATATATCTTTTTATAGCGACATGTTTAAGGAAGCATACATTACATTGAGTCGGTGACTTCGAAAGTCAGTAAATTGAAACGGTACACTCATAATAGAATAATTATATGAAACATGAGAAATAGTGAAATAGATTGAATTAAAATACAGGACAAGAAAACCGAAGCGCAAATTTATCCCGAATGATAAAATATACAATTCTCTACACAATGAAACGTCTTTCAACTCTCTACGGCTTTTTGTGATCCAGATATATCAGTCTTATGGAAGCACTAAACTCATTTTTTTCTGCTATTTCGTATAGAAGCATAATTTTTGTACCTTACACATAAGGTTGATGTATGTCAGTGAAAAGCTGTCGTAGAGAGCTGGAAGACGTTTCATTGTGAAGAAGTTAAAATATCAGCAAATACTCATAAGTTTCAAAGGCTTACCTATCATTCTCGATTAAGAAAACGTTTATGAAATGTTCTAATTTCAAAAATCACATCCACAATATGAAAAAAAAACCTATGTCTTATTTAATTTAGATCTTTGGCTTTGAATTACTAACTGATCTCTCTTCATTTTATCCAATACGAACAGCTTTACTTGTTGTGAAGCTAGCTTTACAAGTGTATGCAACGTTATTACGAGGTAAATAAATCATAAATTAAATATTATCTGTTGAGAAAAAAAAAACATAATTCTTTATAGTTTTATCAAATGACGATCGTCTACGGTTTTTTTCACGTACATATAAATTTCTTACACAAATGAGTTCGATATTTCCACCATTAACACAAAATTCAGTTTATGTTCTTCAACAAGCCATACGTGCTTGTTCTTTAGTATGTGTTTTTTTTTTTTATTTACATATTAATTTTTATATTTTATTAATAATCTTTAGTCACCATCAAATTTGCCACAATTAAAATGGACATCAGATTCATTGGGTCGACCACGAAGGATCGATATTTAAATAAAAAGAAGAAAGAATATTTATATCTGTTAAATTAAAACATAGAAAAAAAAAAAAAAGACAACGCGGGATTCTTTGTAAATAAAATTTCAAAATAAAAAAACACACAAAATCTACTTAAATCACCGAGTGAAAATTTGATTGTTTTTTATTTTCTTTGTTCTTCACGTACGAGTTAATTTTGTTGATAAAGGTAAACGTCGTTTATTTTGTATTGATGGTATAGTTGAACAAAGTGATGGTGTTTGGGATTGTAAACGACTATGTGCAGTTCGTAGACGACTTGGTGTTTGACGATCACTATATACTGATCGACGATGAACTGAATTGTTAAAATAAGCAAATAGATAAGGAAATATTTATTTAGTTTAGACATACTTGAAGATGTTGGTCGAGACTCAAGTACATGAAGTTGAACAGAAAGACTATTAAGATAATAAAATTTAGATAAGATAATAATCTTTGCCTTTTTTTTTTCTTGCTAAATACCTGTCTACTGGTAAACCTTTTGCTCGTTCACTTTCAAAAAATCTAACAAATTCTTGTGACATACATGAACGGTTACCACATTCAACAATTTTATCATAAAGCGCTAAAAGGCCAGAAAAAAATCAATTCTGAGAAAAATGGAATATTTAAAATTTTACTTGGATCACGTCGAACAAGATTATAGAGACGACGAAATGCTGTTTTATTATATGTTAATGCTCCAATTGCTACAGCACAAGCACTATGCATTTCAGCTTCGTCACCTGCATCTTCACTTGTCTGTGGAGGTGATCGAACATAGAGCTTATTAATTAAACGTTCGAGCACTTGACAAGATATAAATCCATCACTTATACCTGTTCGAATTCGAGCCAATGATGATACATATTTAGCTACAACAACAACAACAAAAAAAATAATTAAATCTTAGAGTTATTCTTAAACCGATGATAAATAAGAAAATGTGATTATCATTTCAGAATTTTAAAAATGGATTAAAATGACTTTCTTTTAAAACTTTCCATAATATAATAACTAAGGATCGATCATTTCCGGAGATGTACACTGTACCCTAACTTCAAATATCAGAGACTGGATTGGGGCAATCATGCCTTAATTACAGCAGTTGTTAAATTCTATTGTTAGGAATTTTTAAAAAAGAATGCACGTCGAACACTGAAAAGTTAAGAGAAGGAATTTAATTGTTGACAGATTCATTCTTTTAGAAATATCGTTTGTTCTATTACTATATTTCATACTCATTAGTTAAATTAATAATTGACTGAAAATTATCCTGGTAACAACTGGACCTCACTTAAAAACATTTGCGTCATCTTTTTTTCCAGCTAAGATTAGGCGAGGCCGCTTCTCGTTTATCCCGTAAGGAGGATGTGGAGCAGTCGCATCACCAGTTGAGAAGGCTTCATGTGGTGCACGTGGTACACATCTTTGATCAGCTCCCAGTTCAGATAAAATGAGTGTAGGAATTGTTCGAACAAATGAAATTCTATCAGCGAACGCCTGCAATAATTCGTCACATCCGAACTAGAACTGAATTTATCGACGTATAGTAATAACAAATCATATCTTCTTAATTGCAAAGACTTCTTCGCTGAACAGAGGAAAAATATTGTCTGCAAAGTAGAATCAAAGTGAGCAGGACAAACGTGTTCGCATGATAAAAACAAGTTCTAACATATAGAGAAAAATAATCAGTGTAAGTAGTTCGGTTCAAGGAAAGATATCAACTCTTTCGTGTTAGTTTAATAGTTGATTGTAGAAAGACCAAAAGACCTTCAAATGCTACGTATGATTTTAAGAAGTGTTTCGAGTCCGAAGAATCTACAATAGTTCAATTAAAGTAACAAAAAACTCAACAACTTTGGCAACGCTCTTGAACAGTTATCTCAATGATAAATGATAACATTTTAATTCAAGCAAAGTTCTAATATTTACACAAACTGTTGAATCTTGACGTGTATGACAAGAGATAGAGCTTTCTTTTTTATTACTGGATCAATTCATTCATACAACCAATAAAGATAATCTCAAGTTTAAACCTAATCTTTCATGACTGATTTTTTTAATGACACAATAAATTTTGTCTTCATTGCAGAAAAAGAAATATCTCCCATCGTTATGTATATAGTCTAACAAACATCTCAATCACTTATACCAAAGATTTTTCGCATCAGCAATCAAACGAGAGAAAAAAAAATCGTTCATTACCTATTTGTGTAATTAAACTTATATTATTTTGTAATAAAAGATCAGCAAGTTTCATAATAACAAGTGCTGTAAGTGTAACTTGTTCATCATCACTATCAGCAATAACACGTGCAAGAACAATGACCTATACATGAGACAAAATAATTAAAACAATAGAATTGAACAAGATAAAAAGAAGACAAACTTGAAAACAAGCCATAGCTGAATATGTTGGATTCAATGAATCAATAAATGGTTGAAATGCACTACAAACAATCGTATTTGTTTCTTTTAAAATAGCTTGATTTTCAAGATTATTATAAGCAAATAATGATAATGCTAATAAAGCTCGTAATTTTAAATCAGATTCCTCTATTTGAATAAATTGAAAAACAACATCTTCAACATTAAATTCGTTTGCTAAATGTTGTTGATTTGCACTATTATTTAATACTAATTTTGATAACGTTAAACAACATTCAACCTATTTAAAAAGAAATCAATTTAAAAAAATATTTTGTTTTTCTCTTACTTTCAAATCAATATATTGTGTTGATTCCATTATACGTATAAGTAAATCAATAGCATTTAGTTCAACAATAGCATTTTGTAATAAACTATTCGGTACAAGTGAAATGCCTTGAAAACAAAAGAAAAACAGTTTTCTTTGTTTTTTTTTCTTTTAAACATACCAATACAAAGTACACTAAATGCTCGAACAAGTACAAGTAAAACTCGATGTGTTAATTGATGATGTTGTTTAAGCAGACGTATAAGTGGTGCAAGAATATTTTCTTTATATAATCTATTTTGATTTAGTTCACATTCATCAGCTAATGCAATTATAGCATTTAATGATACATATTGTAATTTTTCTGAATGTGATAAAAGCATTGTTACAATATGTGAAATACCAAAACATTCAGCTACATAACGTTGTTGCAATTTTATTTCACCACCAAGTGCCCATAATGAAAAAGCTGCTTGTTCACGAATTTCTAATGCCCATTCTTCGGAACTACGAATCTAAGTTTAATGATATTAATATATATTAAGATATTTTCGTAGTAGTAGAAGGAATAAATTCGAAGGAGCAGAAAAAGAGGTCTGGAGAAGAATACTTGATTTCAGGGGGATAAACAACATATAAGTGAAAACGAACAACTAAGGTGTGAGGGAAAAAAGAACAACCAAGTAACAGAAATTTAAGAAGATCACTACGAAACATAATTGACTTACGGTAGCAGCAACGTAGTACATTTTCTGCAATAAAGCATCAATGAGAATGAAGTTAGTTTTAAATATAGCTATTAGCATCCTTTTTTTTTTTTAATATTATATTTCTACATATGTACAAATCAAACAAAAAAGATTATCTGCATTATTTGCTTTTTTATTTTTCAATGTGATTCAGTTAAATTCTTTCTTTTTGTTCATTATTTATATCTTTATTACCTCCATTAATTCATTAAGTGGTTTTTGTATATTGAGAGTTTTGGATAAAAATTGTTTTTGATTTTCTACATTATTTATAGCTAATGCTTCAACAGCCAATGATCCTTTATAACGTATACCAAATTCTCTATCTTGCATAAGATCAACAATAAGTTTAAGTGCACCTTTCGATGATGCTAATGTTTGATTAGTCATATTATTATATGTTATTGATGCTAATGCTGATGCTACAGTACCTCGTAAAACTTCTAAAAAAAAACAACAAAAAAAAAACTTGTTTTGTTTTTTGAAATATTATACGTTTATTTACTTGAATCAAGTGCAAGTAATTCAGTAAGTTTTTCAATAATTCCATATTTAGCTAATTCATTTTGCATAAATTCATTTTTACGACAAAGTAAATCAACTGCATTACATGCATTAACAAGAACATCTTCAATAGATGAATCAAGCATACGTGATAAGCCTATTATTGCTTCGGATTCAAGAAAACGTTCCTTAAATGACAAAGAGTAAAAAGAAAAATTCTAATTTGAAAACTATTGTTTATTTTTTTCTTTATTACTTGATTTGATGGAACAAAACATATATCAGCAATTAATATGGATGTTTTTGAACGTATTTCATCATTGTTTAATTTTAATAAATTTGAAAACATGTCAGATAAATTTTCTTCAGCTGTTGATATTGCTAAACGTACTTCTGTATTTGTTGATATATTGCACAAAACAGATAATGTTGATAATATTAAATTTGCATCAGTCATTTTAAGTAATCTTATAAGTCGTTTAATACCATCTATTAGAAAAATAAAAATTTAATTAAATTTTGAAAATTTAGCTTGTGGTTTTTAAACCTGTTTCTAATAATGGACGCCAAAATTCTTCTCCATGTGTTGTCATTACATGTAAACATTGAACAGTAGCTCGTTTCATTGGTAAATCAGGATGATTTATTAAATCTTTATATGATAAAAAAAAATTAATTTTTCATTAAAAAAAAAACTTATCAACGTAGTTCCTTTGAAGCTAAAATGTAGGTCTCGTATCTGTTCTGTAGTTTCATTATACTAATACAAAATACGTAAATTGAAGATTCTCTAGCAGATTATATTTGTTTTTCAAGAATAATCGATTGTCAAGGAAGCGATTGTTCTTATTTATTTCTACATTAAGAAAAAAAGTTTCTTTTACTCACGTCCTATTTTTTGTTCGCTTGTTGCTTTGCATATGAGTAGTTCGTTTTTCTTAATTTAATATTATTCTAATCATTGATTTAACTGACAAATAAATCTATTGTACGTATTCATTATACCTAATGCAGTTCTTAGCACACTATTATGTCATCATGGCTAAGTGACCATGTTATTCGATACGTATCCACAAAATACTGTATGCAAAATTCAGTATCACCAATCATGGAATGATCTTAGGCAAGTCAGTAATCGATAATCGTCTCGAATCATGCGTCCGGGAGTATGCTGACTACCTTGTAAGATATACTTGTTGCTTTTGTGGATAATGTGTAGTTATCTAGTGTATATGGAGAATGCTAGAAGTATGAATCGAGTTGGCTTTCTGTCCAAAGCTACACATAGCCATAGTTGTAGGGAAAGTATTGGACCATCGAATCTTCTGCAATTAGGCATCAATCTATACCGCGAGGTATCTGAAAGGCAGGAATATTCTTTCTTCTTCTAACACACTATTAAAGCTCAGAAACACTGATATTGATTATTTCCTCAAGTCATAACTTAGTTAGTTCACGATTTTTTTGTATTAATCATATGACGATTGTAACAAATCAATACATCATTATCCGCTATCCTTAACAACTTGAATATACATTTTTATGTGTTAAAAATTCCAAACTGTACTACTTAGAATATTTACACATACATTTTATTCATTGAAACTTCAAGAAAGCCTTTAAAATGTTCTAGAACAGTTTAAGTCTTGTTATTGTTAATGTCGCTCAGCTTCTTTTTTCGTTGCTAAAGAAGTCTGAAATCTGTTGTTCTCGGTTTCTGTAAGGGAAAGTTGCAAAATATCGACTTGGAACTTATACTCATTATTTTTTTCTTCGAAAAGCATAATGTGAGTTCGAGAAAATAACTTACCAACAAGAATCGTCCATGTTGGCACAAGTTGATTATTCAAACGAATAAAATATTCAATTACATTTGTATGTAAATTACTAGCAGCTAAATGAATAACTGTATTTCCTAATTCATCTTTATATGCAATATTAGCATCTAATGAAACTAAACATTGAACAGCATCTAAGGCACCTGATGTTGCTGCTAATAGAAGTGGTGTTGATTGACGACTAAGATGAAGAAAAATTTTCGAATATTTAAAAAACAAAATGTTTTCTTTACATAACTAACCTATCTTTAGTCGTTTGTTCAAGTACATCAGGATGTTTATTATAGAGTAATCTTAAAATTGGAACATGATCACAAAAAGCAGCATGATGTATAGGTGTCCATCCTAATATTAAAATTCTAAAATCATGAATTTTCTTTTCATAAATTTAAGTCATATACCTTGATGATCAACTTGAATTGCTGCCATATTGCCTAGAAGACAGGATGCTGCATCTAAACTTCCATGACGACAAGCAAAATGTAATGGTGTCCCACCTAATTACATACAAATAAAAAAGAAAAACCTAATTATAAAATTATTATTCTTAATTATTTACCATTTGGTACATAATTCACTTCTGCTTTAGAATTAACATCAACACCTAATAGAATTAAAATACCAATAATAATTGAACGATTGTGAATAGCCTAATAATTTAATAAGAAAATATTTTTTCAAATATATATAAATATCTATTTAAAGTAGAATCGATCATACTGCATAATGCATAAGTGTAAGACCATCACGAAGATTAGGTTTACTTAAACCAGATATTGGTATTTTGCGTGCTAATGCTTGAAAAATACATGCAAGACCTCGTTGAGCAGAAACACGTAAACCATGTTCTGGATTCTGAATGAAAAGAAAAACAAAATGAACGCTATTAAAAGAAATTATTTAAATAAACCTTGTAATATGTTGCTTTCTTTCGACCAAAATATTTTTTATACATTTCATACATAACTGTTTCATTAAGAAAACGCTTTGCAGAAGCATTTTCTATTGATCTTTGTATAACACGTAACCATATGGGAGACAGACCATAATATGGTTCAATATCAATAACCAAATGATAATATCTATATTATAATCAATGTATTTATTGTAGGATAATATTTATTCTTATGCATTACTACTAAAGAATATTCCATTTTTCAGCTAACTTAATTAATACAAATCGAAAGCTCGATATTTTTTTCTATCACAAACAAAGAACAAGAGTAGACGTTTTCCTAATGATGAGCGAGACCAATCGTTTGGTTTACATGAATTTCGGTCCAGGGAATTTTCGGCCCGGACTTTCGGTCCGGTCCGAATTTCCNAGAATATTATGATTGGAATATAACTTACTCAGGTGTATCGATTGTTGATGCTACGCCAGACAATTGTTGTGTTGGCGGCGATGTTTCGTATGACGAAGAAGAAGTAGAATAAGCAAAGGCAGGTGCAAGACGTGATCGTTTAATAGATGATGGTACTCGATTATATAAATCGGATGTAGATGATCGTACTGGTGTTGAAAATTCTAATTTCGATGGTGGTTGATTATTTGTCAATGATCGAACAGCTTTTATAAAACAAAAAGAAAAGAAAAGTAAATTTTAAAATAAAATAAAAATTTTTCTTGTTTACCAATCGTTCGATTGCTAACATCAGAAAAAGGTCGTTTAGTAGCAGAACTTGTTGGTGATTGAGGTTCAAGTTCGGTCATTACTGAACGAGGTGTATAAACAGGTACTTCTTGTGTCAACGAATTACTCCAATGAGATGGACTAGACATCCACCAATTTGCTGCAGTAGATTGTGTTAAACCTGATTCAATATAATTACTATCACCGAGCAAATTGAATACTGTTTGCTTATCAAAATCTGGTCCAAGACAGCTAAGCACACTCAAATCCATCTCAGCAGTAGCACTTTTCGGTTGTTGCTGTTGCTGCTGTAAATAATCATGTAGCCTATTGAATGAAAAAAAAAATTATATATGTTTTTAATAATATGTTAAATAGACTAACATTAGAAACGACATTGTTTGGTATGTGTTATTGTGAACAGATAGAAAACAAGTCGACGTCAAACAGAAAGCGTGCGTATATGTGCATCTGTCCTCTTATACTAGTATACATAATGGCCGACGACGTAAGAGAGAGAGAGAACGGTCGAGAGAGATTACTGATGAACATTTCTTTGTTTTTCCTTTTGTCCATTCGGACGATAATACCTAGAGGTATACAAACGAGTACATATATATGATATGAAAACGTCCATTCATTGTTATCATCATACATTATACTACGAGCGTTTTGGTCGAAAGAAGGAAGAAATAATGTGTCCTTCATAATCTTTACATGCAAATAATATCCTATTCTTATTTCAGTAGATAAGCGACAAAGAAAAAGTATTACGATCAAAATATTATTTTGAAGATTCTTTGAAAATTACAAAAAAAAAGAAAAGAAAGAAAAAAACGAGAAAGTATTGAATATGTCTCTTTAGAAGAAATAAATAGAATTACGCATAATTTTGATAATAATTTGGACTTTCAAAACCACCATCACTTGGTGAATCAACATCATTTGAATTATTTAATTGACGTGTTGAAGATATTTCTTGTCGTTTTTTATTTAATTTACGTTCTTTTGCACGACGATTTTGAAACCAAATTTTAATCTATATGAAAAAAAAAAATTTTTTTTTTTGTAAAGTAAATCAAATTTTATTATCTTTCTTACTTGTCGTTCACTTAATGATAATGTTAATGATAGTGCTGATTTACGTGGTATTGAAATATATTTTGATATAATAAATTCATTTTCAAGTTCATATCGTTGTTGATCTGTATAAACAATACGATATTTATCACGTGTACGAGTTTTTCCTATTCAAAAAAAGCAAAGAATTATATTTTAAGCTTTAAGAAATTTGCTCTTCGTTTGTTTCTTTGTCTAAACTTCAAGATTGGCCTTATCTTTCATGTAGGTATATCAACAATTGAAAGTCATAAAAAAAAAAGAAAAAAAAACCTATACCACGTATTGCGGTACCATTTTATGGCACTCGACATTTTTTTTCTTACAAAAATCAATCAAACAAAATTGACTTATCAAATACATTATTGCAACTCGTTGTATGTTTACACTCGGAACATGTTTTAAGTATAACACCAATGTGGAAGCGCATGTTTCTCAATCAATGCCCTTTTAACATATTCCTTTTTATTTAAAGGTCAATTGATTACCGTTCAATGGATTTTTTGGTGGTATTGAAATTAATTGTGTTGATGATGAATCATTTTTATGCCAATTTATTTGTTGAGGTGAACTTGATGATTCCTCTTTAGACATTTGTTCATGACAATGATTTATATGATTAGATGTTTCAAAATATGTTGGTGGACTATAAGATGATTCAAATTTAATTGGAAGTGCTGTTGGTGGCGGTGGTGGCGGTTGTGTCCATTGTGCTTGTGGTGAATCATAAAAATTATTTGTTGAATAAAATGGACAGGGAGTTGTATAATGACGATATGATGATGGATTTGTTGTTGAATGTAATGGCTGATAATTACCTGAACCAAGCCATGTTGATGGATCATTACATGTTGGTGATGGTGGTGAATAAAGATGTTGATGAATATGATGGTGATGATGTGTAGAGGAAATAGTAGCTGATGCATTTATTTGGGATAATTGTACAGATGAAGCAGGTACAAGTGGTTCAACTGTTGGATTTGATGATAAGGATGACGATGATGAAGATGATGATGTTGGAGTTTGATCAAGAATTGTCATTGTTGGATTTGCTAGAATATTATGTGTAGTTGTTGCTGTAGTTGGCCAATAATTGTAATCGAATGCTTCTATTTTTGATGTTGCATTTGTATAATCCGAATAAAGATTTGAATGTGGAGCATAATTATTATATGATGAATCAAACATACGTAAAGGTTCACCTGATGTACCTGTTTCATGATCATTCGATATTATTGATGAATAGTTTATATGATTATTATTCATATTCTAAATTAATAAAATAGGTAATATATAATTTATTATATTCTTACATTTGAATATCTTTTTGAGATAATTTGTCGTAAAGAAAACAAAAATTATTGCTTACTTATTTTGATGATTATAGGTGTTGAAGATGATGTAATAAACGTCAATGATAATTTCACGGATAATCAATAGATGGATTTATTATTATTGTTGTAGTAATAAAATTAGAACTTTTTCAATAGAGCTACTCCTTCAATTATTACTTTAGTCACATGTTATAATCATAAAAAAATATAAAAAAACCTAGAAATTGTCTTCTTTCAATTGAGAGATGGATGATGATGATAATTCGTGTATATTGTCGAAGAAGTAGACGTGTATACAACTGCACTTTTTTTTTATGATTCAATATTCGTATCAAATAACACAGTTTCTCTTTGCGATAAATCGTCAAGAGGAAAGCGAGAGAGAGAGAGAGAGAGAATGTAAAGGTAAGCAATTTTCATTGGTTAAAGAGAAAAAAATATTTTATTGGCTAGAAGAAACGAAGATTTTGTCGGCAGAATCATTCTTATTCATTTTAGCTGTGATTTCGAAAACTGACAAAAAAAAAACTATTGGTATTTTCTTTTCAATAATTTTTCTATGAATAAAAATATCTGATACCAAATACAGTTCAATGTAATGCAAGTTTAATATAAAAATACATGAGTTGATGTACAAAATTTGGCTAGATGTGAGTTCAAGAACACTGTTTACATTCATTGTTGATTTGTAGAGAACAATATTTTAGGTTTTCAACAATTCTATGTCTATGACTGATATTAACCCTATAAGTTTTGTAGATTAGAATATAAAACATTTCTTAGATGAGATAATGTAAGTGTCGAAGACAGTTGAATCAAAATTTTCATAAGCTCCATGATAAAAATTAATCGTTTTTCAAAAACTGCTCCGAAGAAGGAGAGTAGAAAAATTACTAGTACTCAGTGACGAATCTGGGATTTTTGGATAGGAAGGTAATCATGATCACAAAACCTATTGTGAAAGAGTTGATGAAGTGAATTAGTAATGGAAGAAGAAATGTAAATATGAATGGGATAAAAAATGCTAAATTTCATCGAAAAGTTATTATGAAATAAAGGTAGGACAGAAAGGATTGCAAGATTGCCGTAATATCAAATGTGCTCTTCCTACATCTACTATTGGGAAAAAAATAACGAATTCGCTTTTGCACAATAAAATATTTCTTTTTTTTTCATGGTTGTTCTCTTTCTATTCATTGCATAGAACTCTATTGTATATTAAAATTTCGACCTTTCAACTAATTAGAAATAAAAAGAATATCTTCCTTTGTCATCGACATCATTTTTTTCCGAACAATTTTACTGAAAAAATCTTGTTTTTAAGAGAAAGAACTAAACTAAACAGTAATAGTACTACCCGACATTTCTAAAAACGAGTGTTATCATCAATCGGAAGGTCAAAAGAACATTTTGCATCAGTGGATGTGGATGTAGGTATTGGACTTCTTTAATCCTACATCGAGATTAAACAGTTGGCATCACCGACTTAATGTAAATATTGTTGCCTCCAATCCAAACTTGTAATAATTAATGAATGAAAGAAATATTATGTATTCAACATAGCTAAAATGAAGCAACAATATATATATGAACAAGTCTCCATGAAATAAAAAATTTGTTTTTCAGAAACAACAAGTTCTTGAAACGATATGAAACAAGTTTTGTTTGTCATTAGAGGAATATTTTAATATGATTTTTCTTTTTATCACTATCTTATGAACTATTGAATTATGTTCTCATTTCTATTATTACAATAATATTCTGTAATACAAAGTCGAATTAATTTTATTTCATAAAATATTGTTGCATAAAAACATGTCGATGAAACGAGACAAACTCAATTTTTTTTTATTTCTTGAAAACTTATAAATAAAAAATTACATCAAATCAAATAATAATTGAAAAATATTATCTTTTTTATTTTTTCAAGTGGTTTCATATTGATTAATTCCGTTGGATGTTCAATCACGGTATACTCGAAAAGATAAGCATCCTTTTATGTGATTTAATTACATCGTCATTTCTTGTTTTTTATTCCAGTTAGCAGCAATGTCTCTCTACCTTCTGTCTTATTATTAGTCGTATTATGCTATCTTTTTTTTTTCTTCTCTCTATCAAAAGTAAGCAAATAAAAAACAATCTGTGTGTGAAAAAAAAAAAAAGAAATGCATTCGTGAGAATCATCTGATGATCTTATTAGAACATTATTATTTATCACATTTTTAGTCCAATTATGAATAGATGTCTTGTTCTGATTTGTATGTAACAAAAACAAAATCAAGTTCATTTATTGATTTCGTTGATAGCTTGAGCTTGTTGTCACTTGAATGGCAGGACTATGACTTCTCCACCTTATTTCGTTTTTTTTTCAATCACACCTTAGTGTGACCAATCACATGAACTTATTTTGTATTCTTTCTAATTGATTCGATGTCTTGTCTCAATTGGCATACGATATATATATATATGTATGTATGTAAAAAGTCAAACTGTGCATAAAATTGATACCATTCATATTTAATGGAGTTAAAGCAAATATATTTGTACTTGTTTTAATGTCACTTTTGGAAATATTATGAATAGAAACTTTATTTTTTCTGATACGATGAATATACAGACAAAAAAAAAGAAGTAAGAACGGTACAGTTAGTAAGAGCATCACAGATAGGAAAAAAATGCTAATGATGCATAGGTGGTAATGTGCCTAGAGTAACCAATGGTTCGGTGAAATATTAAATAATAGTAAAAAATAATAATAATAAATGCATATAGATAGCACACTTTTTTTCTGTCAAAATAATTAATTTTTTTCGTTTATCGGGATCGAAATACAAGAGAAAATAAATAAAACAATGGTTCATGTAGTAAAAAAAATTAACACTTAATAAATAGCTATGTAAAGGAGCTAATTTCATCACCGTATCTTTTTTTTTATAGTTATCTCTTTCTTCTCTTCTTCAATTATCTACTCGTTTACTTTTGTTTAAAAAATAAGGGCTTTAGTCTGCATTTTAGAATTTAGTAATTGAAAATTAAGTTCATTGACTATGTGTGAATAATAAAAACAATTATTAAAGCAAAACAAAATAGGAAGATTTGAAAAATAAACTGTTTTATGAATTAATATAGTATAGATTGGGATAGAATATTATTTGTTTGTCCATATAATTGATCATGAGTACCTGTTGGCGGTAATGATTCGGATGTATAAGAATTATATATAGAAGTTAAATGATGAAGTTGTTCATCCGATATAATATTTAATGATCCAGTTTTATCATCTTCATCATCTGTAGTTTGTGATACGTATGATGAATAACTTCGTAATCTGTCACGAGCACTATTAAGTAACGCATTTGCTTCTTGTTCAGAATTTGTTACAATACTTGGATGTGGTGCTTCTTTTGAACGAAGAATAAATTGATTATTAAAATTCTCTGTTCTTTTTATTGTTTCATCATCTTCCGATGAATTTCGATTATTTGTATTAGTAAATATTCCAGCTGGTAAAGTTTCTGTACGAAGTAAACACGAACGAAGAATACCATCTGAACCATTTTTTAGTACTGATATTGTTGAGTTGCTAGTTGGAATTGATGCTGCTAGTGATTGTTCCTAAAAGATAAGAAAAAAATATATAGTTATTGTAATTTTTGTTTTTGAAAATAGAAAGATAATATTGTTTGTGCATAAATTAATTGTTGTTCACTTACATCTAATATTTGTTCGCCAGATTTATTTGGTAGCTTTTTTTGCTGACGTTTCGCATGAATTTCATTACTAATACGTTCAAGATTTCTTAACGACTCTTGGTATTGACTTTTAGCTTCATTAACACAATTTTCAAGGCCAGATACTTTACGTTTTTGAAACTAAAAGCAATAAATTTATTTTAAAATGATTTTTATCTATTTTTGACGTCAGGAGCTGTGAAAGTGAAATGTATGTATGTGTCTAGATGTGGATATCAAGAGAAAGCAATAATTGTTTGCATGTTCGACAAAAGCCTGATTCTTTTCATGTCCCCCAGATCTTAATTTACATACATGTGATTTAATCGTATATAGCACAGCGTGAGGGTTAGGGCGGCATGTAAAAAATAAATATGTATTCCATGGAATGGATCAGTCGAGAATCTCGCTGGCACATAGTAATTAAATGTTGACATTCATCTTTTGGCTTGATCGAAATATTATGAAAAGACTAAAACAATATCTATTTTGAAATACCGATAACTTCCATGGACGAATGCTCCAGAATAAACAAAACTTATATGGATTATAGTAGATTTCTCAGCAACTACTACTTGCTCTTGTGTAACACTCCTTGCACAACTCAAAGGGTTTGATAAATATTTGTATTTATACTCATATCTAATATTCGTTGTCCTTCAATAGATTATTAGTTAGTTTCTTGACTTCTGTGAGTTATTACTTTATAATACTAATAAAAGTTTTTGGCAATTTTAGTTTCCTGCATTGCAACGAATTCTGTTTTGCAACTGTTTGTCATAGGCGCATACATCAGGTTTCGAAATTGGGCCAAGAGTTGCTCGTGTCGGCCCGGTTCGACTTAGAATAGCACTATTTAAAGTATATTTCTTTTAGACAAAGGATTTTCAAACGATGGAAGCCTGCAATTATTGCAGTTATTTATTAGAACATTATAAAAGTTTATTATCGTAGTGATCATTAGTTGAATTAGATCGAACGATTTTAATACTTGAAAAAACTTCATGAAAAATATACCGAATTGTATATTCAAATGAGAGATCAAGATGTGTTCGTGTGTATCCTAACTTCTTGAAGGCTATCATTTATTAACAAGAAGCTTTCATGTGTAAAATGTGCGCTGATCAATTTCAATGAGTCAGATCGGTCAGTATTTTTAGTTCCACTGTTCAACCTCAGTAACACTCATGCAGCTTAACGCAGTTGATCATAAAGACGACCGTGCTTGTCGATGAGGGATGTTATTGAGCTGAATAAAAGTTCTGGTTTTATTGAAGAGCCAAATGAAACTTTCAAAACGTTCGCATAATAAAAGTTCTTAATTGTTATCAGCTGTAAGGTGTAAAACCCATGTTAGAAATTTTGACGAAAAATCAGAGTAAAATCGATTAACCCTATGAGCTCCATAGTAACAGAAATGCTACACATATTTTACAATTATTTCTCACAACATAATTTATAAAAGTTTGTACGTAATTTCCTGGAATAAAGTAATGAGAAATACTATAGAATGTGAGATGTGTGGATGTGAGCGCATGTGACTCAGTATGGGGACCTGAGTCGAGCTTGTGAATGTAGTTGACAGATTTTCATTGAAGAATATTCATATGAAAATTCTCTTATATTCACATCCAGACCACTCATAGCCATACTCACATCCTAATCTAACAGTTTAGCTCAATTCAGTTCAGCAGAGATTATTTAGGACTCCAGGAGTTAAAATAAGATATTTTTGTTTTCTTAGGTAGGAAACTTTTCTTGAAAAACGAAATAAAATTCAGACCGGGTGACCTATTTCAAGCCCTGTTGTCGATTTCTCTAAAATAAAAAAATTATTTGTTACTGCTTAGTAAAACTAACAAGATTTTTTGAGTTTGTATGAACTTTACAAAACACTTGTGTATACACTTTCTCGTGAATTATATTTGACTTACATCCAATTCTTTATGAAATTCCACTTTCGTTTCATAATAAGGTCTATAAAAGAAAACATAATATTTTTTTATTTATTTATATGTAAAAATTTTCGTACTTTGATTTATTAATCGCTCGTCGACAATCTTTTTGCAATTTTAAAACTAATTCTTCTAGATCATAATGAACCATTTCAGCACTTTGTTGATCTAAATCAGCTTGATATTTTTCTTGTTCAGCATCATGTGCCTAATAAAGAATAAGTTTTATTTTTCTTTTAAACGAAATTATTTAAACAAACTTTTGCAACAGCTTGAAGATATGTTTCATTCCATGTTGTTGTATTTTGATGTGATCTTGCTGCTTCATCAATATAATCAGCCTTGAAATCAAATTATATAAATAAGAACAATACAATTTATTATTACCGAAGCAATAGCTATTTCTTTAGCAGCAACATGTAATGCTTGTGCACATTCAAATCGATGTTTAGCTTTAATTAATTTTTCTTTAGCATCTCGAAGTTTAATTCGTGCATCATAATAACTTCTTGCTTTGACTACAGCTTCACCAATCTTTTTTTCTAATTGAAATAATTCTTCTTCTGATTTTCCCTTAAATTCATCACATACTTTTCGTGCTTCCTAAATAAGAAATAGAAAAAAAGCACTTGTTTTTTTTTTGTCTAAAATTACATCAAGTTGAAGTTCTAATTGATTAATAGCTTCATTAGCATAATTTAATCGTTCTAATTCAATCTAAATTATATCGAGAAGAATTAATAAAAGAAACAACAAATGAAAATTTAGAAAAACAAACTTGAATTCGAGGATCAAGTGCATCGTCTTCGTCAGGTTTTGAATTCGATTCAATGATTGATTCATTTTGAATATCTGGCAAATGATCCATTCATAATCTATAAAAAGAAGAAAGAAAGACGAATTTATATTTGATGTGTATTCTATATTGAAAAGTATACAACAAACAAAAAAAAAACATATTATTAAGAATTAATTATTTTCATCAAATCATTCATTTGTTCATTAAAATTGTCATGTTCATTATTGGAAAAAATAAATGACCATTGAATATTTTTATCTGATTGAGATTCGAATTCAGAATGATCAATATCAGATTGCAATTTCCACCCACGTTTTTCTCGTATATCATTTGATGCTTCAATACGAATAATTAATAAACGATCATTGAAATATTTTTTAAAAAATTCAATTTCTCTATAAGATTTAATGTCACTAATAATCCATATTGGATGTGATAAACATAATTGATCATTTTGTTCAATCATCATACGACAAAATCTTGTTGAATCTTCACGACATTTTTCTTCTTCCCATCTAAAAATATTCATTTCAACAATAAGTTTTTGTTTTTGTTCGAAGTTAAAAGCAAAGAATTTTAACATACTTAATCATATCTTTTTGATAAGTATCAGATAAATGTTCATTATATGTTTTTTCATATTCAATTTTTAATGTATCATTTATATGTAATAATACAGCAGGAAGTTGTTCAGTTAATTTTTTACCAATATAATCTTTTCCTGATTTTGTTTGACCACAAAGAAGAATTACTTTTTTGACATGAGAATATTTTGATATATTAATTAACATTGATCTATAATTAATTTTAAAATAAAGGAAAAAAATAAGAATTTTTGTTTTTTTCAAAAATACTTTTCATCAAATTCTAAATTTAATTTTTCCAAAATATATTTCATAGCATGATCACATCGTTCATGTATAATTAGATCAGCTAATGAATCTAAAGATGTCTTTTGTAAATTAATTATTACTAATTTTCCACCATTTCTTTTAGTTTTTCTTGGTAAATCACGACAAGGACGAATTTGTAATGATGTACCCAAACATATACATAAATCTGCTTCACTTAAAAAGAAAACAAAAATACTGTTATAAATATTCAAAAAATTCATTTATTTATACTTACGCGCAATGTTGTTCGGATAATCTAAGTGCTAATTCTGGTAATGGATCTTCCCAATCAAGAACAGTATCACGTAATTTTCCACGACATGATAAATTTTTATTTCGACTTTTCATTGAATTACAAACATTACCTGTTCGTTTACGACAATAGGAGCCTATACTTGTTGGACGAATTATCTAAATAAGAGATAATAAGATATATCCATACGTCAGAAATTGGAAATTCAAGAAAAACAACTAGGATTCAGTGTTTCGAATGATAAACATATCCGGGTTGTATGTGCTAGTCTTTGTGAGATCTTAATCTCACTTATACTTTATTTTTATAACTATATCTTTCTCCAATGATTCATCTTCGCAACAATCTATCAAATATATAGGGTAATAACGTGAAGAAAATCCATAGAACAATATGAAAAAAAGAGAGCAGAAAGAAAAAGAAAATACCTAAGATATAGAACAGGAAAGGAAAAGTCCAAGGTGCATGACCCACAATAAGAGAAAAGAAGAAGAACATAAATCCATATGTATAATTCTATAGATAAAGAGGGAATATCCTTATGACGACATCTGAAGAAGATGCAGATGATAACAGTCTTTGTAAATCTTTTCAATGAGGCTATGTTTGAAGTCTCCTAATCACTATTGTTATATTTCCAGTTTTTGGATGGTGAGTATTACTTTTACAGCGTCATGTATTGTATGTGATTAAGTAGTCAAAGACTCTATGTAGAATTTTATCGTTTATCATAATAAAATGTTTAAGCGTCCTCAGAAAAAGTCAAATTTGGTTAAATTTATCGATTTTGTGATTTGTAGCTTCTTGAATAGAGTGAAGTGTCTCCTCTCGAATGCACTATAGTTTATTGATTTTATGATGAGATTTAAGGATATTACATAGGTTATTCTGATAAGAACAAGGAAGCTTGCTCTCAACAAGCTGTAACCAGAGAAAAAATGGTATATCTATAAAACACGTTCCGACTAGTGAAGATTGACCGGACCGAATTGATTACAACTCTGAACTGAACAAGACACAATAATTTGTTCTGACAATATCTTCTCATAAAAAGTTATTTGAAAGCGTTTTCTAAATAAATAAAATCAATCTTCTAAAACATGTACCATGTATGGCATATTATCAGTTAGTGATGTTCGATTAATTTCATTAGAATTTACAAATGTGTTACTCATATTGATTCATCATCGTTGGATACAAAGTTTTTTTCATTTCAATGAGATTCAAAGGCTTCTTATCATATTAAAATAATGTCTAGTAAATAGTAAAATATGAATCTCAACTAAGGAGTACAAAGCTAGACTTCGACCCACCAAGGTATTATATAGTACAGGTAAAGGACGATGAAGTATCGTACTTCGAAGTATTGAAGCCTCGTTTTTCTCCACTTGATTTTAATCAACAAAAGAGATTTGAGAAAAACACTGACAATAAAAAAAAAACATAAATTAAGGATCAGATGATAAAGAGATGAAAATTATACTATTATAATCGATATCAAAGGTCATTTGTTACGCATGAATAATATTCTTTTTATATGTTATGTGCACTGAAAATACAACCCGATCGGAATTATTTATTTGATTATGATATTCGAGCTCAGTTTAAATACCCGCTAGGGTAATAAAAGGGTTCACTGTGATGACTAAAAATTTCGTTTGTTTTTACTTTTAATAATTTCTTCATCGTATTAATTAACAAACCTGTGTACGACAAGCTTCACATTCTTCTGAAAAAACATTGCCATGTAACTCAGCTAATTTATCCAATGGAAATCCCGATCGATGATGAAGTCCATCAATATTTTGACTAATAACAAAATGTAAATAATTATTTTCTTCTAATTTACATAAAGCTCGATGTGTATATGTTGGTACGGCTTTATCAAAACTAGTATTAAATGAAGGTTTTTCGCCTCGTTTTTCTAATGTCCATACGCCTAAAATCATTTTTTGTTATACGAAAAAAAAAACATATTTTAGTTTTTTCTCCTTCACATTTACTAACCATTTGGTCCTCGAAAGTCTGGAATACCAGCATCTGTTGATATACCAGCTCCACTAATAACAACTGTATGACGACTTTGGCGTATCATTTGTTCAAATTGATCTAATTTAACTAAATAAATTATAATTAAATTTAAAAACAAAAAATAAACGTTAAAATTCAAGTTATGGTTTACTTTTTAAATTATCAGATTTTTCACTTAATTCAGGCATACCAACTTTGCCTTTATGTGGAAAATAAGAAAGACTTTCAGCATAGGACAAACTCATTTTTCTAATAAGTTTTTTCTCAACGAAATAATAATTAATCTATCAATCATATGGACATGATACATTATTTCCCTGCTGGTCGAGAAAAAACATAAAATGACAAAAATGCTATAGAGATGTCGCTATGAACAAGAGATTCCTTCACAGGAAATACATATTCGAAATAAATTTCAAAGTTATCAAATAGAATGAAATCTTCTGGTGAGGAACGTGTTTTTAATGCCTTATAGATCAGCCATATTTGCAAAACATTTTGGCCAATATATTATGCAGAGTTTTTCCACAAGAGCATATATCTACTTTTTGGAAGAACATCGGGATTTTCGAACGAGATAGAGTAGTGGCTTACTCAGGAACATAGTTCATGAAGGGGCGTTGGGTGTGATACCCCTTCTGCCTTCAATGTTGAGTGGCACCTTTGAATTTAACTAGAAAAAAAAACTTTAAAAGGATCATAACACATAATAAATCTTTTTTTTTGAGAAGATCCACAACAGCAGGTGCAATACTTTTAAAATTTCTAGGACTGAATCTCCTCTCTAACCTTCCTCTGTTTAGGCTACTAGAGTAAGAGCAAATTCAGTCTTAAAAAGAGCATCGGCACCTCGACTGACCTCAAATCTTCTAACCAGTAGGTTGTTTTTAAGTGCAAAACTTTAACTTGAAGCATCACAATAATTATGATAGACTGTAGATCAACATCATAAAATATTTGTAACTCATTCGAAAATTGTAATAAGTTCATCACTTGAAATGTTTGCCATTTTTACGGCGTTCAATAAAGCGCTTATCTATTGTCATATTGACCTGTAATTGATTAATAGAAATTAAATGATAAAGATTCCCATTTTCGATAAAATCATTTATGTTATTCGATATGTACATTCTATGATAAAAATGACCTATAATTCACTTTATAACTTACAAAAAGTATCTTATTCCTATTATCTTTACAAAAAATAGATCTTACATTTTGATTGATAGGATAATCAACATTCTTGAGATAGGTATTCTATGACTTATTCAGATGTCATAAGATGATAACACTTCTTTCATCATCTAGCAAACATTTTTTCTGTGAAGAAAAGACATCAAAGTATATTATCAATTGTGAACATACATTTAAACATATTGAAAAAAGAAAATCAATTTTAGAAAAAAACGAGAGGATGCATCAGTAAAAAAAAGATGAAGTAAATATGTGCGGAACCAAATCTTGAAGTTTTGGCAAGCTCGAAACTATGTGAAAGAAAATATAATCAAATTATCTTATAAATCATGTCAATCATAAGATAAGTCAAGTGTGATGATCCAAAAAGGTACTAGTCTTTGACTAAATAAATAAAAGAAAAAACAAGTATTGACGATTTTTTCTGAGATATGATATGAATACATTCTGAAATACTTTTCTCGAGACCGGAATCAAATTAGATTTGCTGAAGCTACAATTGAGATGAGTAGTAAAGAAGTAACAGGAGCCAGGAGACCAAAAAAGCTTGATTCTGCAAAACTTTGCAACGGAGGAACAAGGAAGAATATCCCTGCCATTCGATGTGGAATTCTACCTAGCGGCAAATTCAGTAACCAAATATCTTCCCATACATACTAACTAACTAGATATTAGCCACAAAGGTTATTCCATAGATTTGAATATAGTATCTTGTGGATATCTGTCGAACTGCATAGCCACTCAGTTGCGGCGGCTCCTACAACGGTCTTCATAAGCCTTTGCCATACTATAATAATATTTCACACTAAATTTGCACATATCACATTTTTCATGAAAGTTTGTTTTTCTTTCATCAAATCTAACAAAAACTATTGAATGTATTATCATTATTATTTCCTAGGGTATATTTTTCTTTTTTTAATTAACATAATCAACAAGACAAAAATAGTAGTTCACTCATATAGATGATTATATATGTACAGATGCAAGTAAAAAACATACACAAAGGAAAAACAACAACAACAACAAACAAATAAACAAACAAAGTGTGGCCCTAACAATAAATAACGAGGGACAATATGTAGATGATATACATATATATAATGAAAAAAGGACGAAAAAGAAAGTGATGCATTAACTGTATGAATTCTGTAACCGAATGTTTTCGTTTTCCGAATAACATTCGACTAAAAATGAAGTAAATATCAGACAAATTGTACAAGCAGAAAAAAAACAAAAGCACAATGCTTAAGAAAAGAAAAAAAAACAAAGAAAATGCTTGATTTTCTATGGATTATAATTATTTAATGAAGAACAAGAAAGATATCGTCGAGCTTGTTCAGTTACATGCCGTTGATCACGTGTTTGACCTATTAAAATTTCTGTATAAGTTGGATCATACTAAATAAAAAAAGATCATTCATAAAAAAAAAAAAAAGATTATTTTTTGGTCCTTACTCCTAATTCTTCTTTGAGTTTTTTTGATGAATTAAATAAATTCTTCGAAAAATTCTCTCGTTTTTTTGTTTCAATTATTGTTGATTGATATTTATCTAAACGTTTATGTCGTCGTACAATAGTCGGTCGTATAGATGAATGATTGTCAGATTGAATTGTTGTTATTGGATCAGGACATGCAAGAAAATCACTGCATAAATAAATCAAAAACTCAATTGTTGCAGACATTTCAAATCAGTCAAAGTACGCAAGAAAATTCTTAATTGACATCAGTCATTTTCAAAATCTCGTCACATGTAAAGCCTGTGGAGAGAAGTGTGCTGAGCTCAAAGATCATGCCTATTCTGAGATCCATAAATATAATCATTGTGGCAACGCTAGCTTATCGTTCGAACGACACAAAATGTATGATCATTAGAGATTACCGAGCTGTGTTATCTTGATTCCTGACATTTTTCCTTAAGCGTAGAGAAAATATGTCCGTAAAGTAGAACCGAAGGATTACTCGAATGAAAAGTCACTATTAAATCGTCCGGAGATGGACTTGAAATTAAAGATCAAGCAATTGAATAGATTTCAGACAAAAGCGGAAATCAGGGAGTCCACATTTTATAACTATCGAAATAAAACCAATAATCTTATAGATTATATTTTACAATTGTTTGTAGTTCTTCTCCACTTGATGAGTATATCCAATGCAGACGAGTACTCTTTCTTGCTTATCGTCACAGTTGCCAAGTTGGATAAGAAGTCAAAATCACAATTGAGTATGCCTCTGAAACAGTGTAATGTACCATCACCGAAATCATATTATTACTATTATTGTGTCTTCTCTGATGGTAATTGATGAAACTTACTCTTCAATCTTTCTTAATATCAAAGCAATATAATATATAATTAACTTACTTAAACCAATCTTGTTCTGTTAAATGACTTCGATGTGGCTTGAAAAAAAAAACGAAGAAAAATTTAGATTTATTAAAAGATAAGTAATAAAAATTTTACCTGATCCAAGCGTTCAGGTGTATTAAGTACACGATGTTTTGATGGTGATGATGTATTTGATATAGTTTTAGGTGAAATAACAATATCATGATTTGGTTCTGATTGTGTAGGATCAATTAATAAATGTTCATTTTCTTGTTTAATTTCATTTTGAGAACTAAAATTAATTGTAAATGAATCATCAGATGTAAATATATTTCGATTTTCATTATGATTTGTTGTATCATTAGATAAGATTGTTAAATGTGGCGATGATGAACATGTAAATACAGGTAATGATGATGAACGAGATGGTGGATGAGTTGGATAATAATCAAGAGAATAATGAAATAATGGTATATGATGATCTGTTTGAGAATTTTGACTTGATGTTGTATAATCTGCACATGATGAAAGCATAGGTAATTGTTTAGCAGGAGATGGTGGCGTACAATAAAATAGATGTTCAAGTTCTTGTGATGAACATTCTTGTTGTTGTACATCAGATGATGTTTGCGAAGAAGATATGGGCTACAAAGGAATTCAAAAATTTCATATAATAATTCGAATGAGATATATATTTCAAGCGAGAAGTTTTACTAAATCAAAAGTTTTTCATTCGAACCGTATGAAATATGTTCAGAATAGGTTATAAATGGCAAAGAAAAAGATCTTGTATTGTAACGAACTTATGAAAGTTGATGATATTTAGATACAGAGTATGTTAAAAAGCTTATCTTCGAAAAATTGTAAATTTTATAGATTGATTCTGAAATATTTTCGAAGTAGAATAATTACCAAAATTAAAAGTAACTTCTCAATCTTTAAAGCGTTTTTTTTGTCTGATGCAAGATTATTCACAATGATCAATAGCCCTTTAACGCAGGACTCTTTCAATTATTTACAGAAAATATAACACATAAAGGGATCGAGACTTATTTCGTTTAGATAGAAATCGGAACCGAAAACGATTCATTCCGATCGTATCTGCTAACAGAAAAAAGTAAACTTAAGCTTTAAAAATTATTTAATAATGTTTTCGATTTTTTTATCATGCATAAGTGTTAAAATTTTCTTCGTATTTATTTATTTTACCTGTAAATGATCTGAATAAACCGTTGTAAGACGATGTGGAGATGAAACAGTGAAATTTTTGTGATCAGTTGTTGGATAAAAATGATGATTAGTATTATTGTCACTGTCCACAATTGGTGAATGAATTTCAGTTTTATTGATCGGTGCAAGTGAAGATGATGATGTTGTTATTTTTGAAGATCGTTTCATATTTGAACGATGTATTCGATTTGTTATTGTATTTAAGGGTCGTCGAGATAAAGATGATTTATCAAGTTTAGGCCATGGAAAATCAGGTGGAATTCTATAATAATAAAAGCAAAAGTATTTTAATTATTACTTTCTTTTTTATCTTATCGTTCTTACAATGCAGTCCATTCTAGTCCTTGTCTTTTTAAATTTGTTACTTCTAATTCAAATTTTTTTTTCATTGAAGAATTCCAATGATTTTTTATTGAATTATCGGATCTTCCATTAAAATATCTAGCTATTTCTGCCCATTTATTTCCGAAATGTTGATGTAAAATAAATAAAAGAAGATTTTCATTATTTGTCCACGGATTTTTATTAATTGCTGGATTAAGATGATTATGCCATCTAATTTTATATTGAAAAAGAAAAAGAAAAAAGATTTTTTTTTGTTTTTATATTTCATTCAAACCTTTCTCGACATTGTTTTCCAACTCGTCCTTTTAATTCTTTTGCAATTAAACTCCATTGTCTTGCACCATAATCATGTACAAGTTCAATAACTTTTTTATCTTCCTCATCAGTCCATGGTCCTTTTGTTATAGATGGATCAAGAAAACGTTCCCAACGATGTTGACATTGTGCATCAGTACGACCATTTCCAACATATTTCGATATACGTGACCAATCTTTTAAGCCACCATTTAAATTAATAAAATCTTTTAAACGTTCATCCTAATTAAAAAAAATAATAATTATAAGAACAAAAGTTTTCTTTTATACTTCATCTTTAGTCCATTTTTTATAAGATTTTTTTCTTGATGATGAAACTTTTTTTGTTACAAATAAATTTTCATCATGATCAGATTCATCTTCTGTAAAACTACTTCGACTAGAACTTGCTCTAAATAAATAGAATTTAATTCCCAATGGAATTTATTAATTCAGAAACCTACCGATTTGAGATCATTCTAATAAAAGATTTTTTTTCATCTAAAAAAATTCAATGTTCAACACAAAAAGAAAATGATAGAATAGACATTTGAAATATGTGTGTGTACGCATTCCGTCCGTTTGCTCGTCGGCTATGTATGTAGAACATTGAACAATGAATGCAGATATATATATATATGTATCTGCGCGTTCCTTTGCATGAACAACAACGCGCGTACGATTAGACAAAAGAAACGAAATCAAGGACATCGACAATCGAATAATTTTCAACGATGAAGAAAAGAAAAGAATAGATATAGACATGCTAAATGAATGTGTGAAAAAGAAGAAAAAAAAAAAAGCGAAGTATTTTATTATCTCATGCTGAGCGAATGAAACAGGTGGTTTGATTTGCTAGTGACCATCTGTTCTATCTTTTTGAAGTTTTGTGCTTATTCAAATATTAATTTAATTAAGAAAAGTTATTTATTTAAAAAAGAAAAAAGATGAAAAATTATATGTTTAGAAAAACGTAAAGAAATTTGTTAGAATATAAAATGTACGATTTTTAAGACATTATGGTATTAATCATGCTACGAAATAGATCAATGTAATTAAATTGATCACGTAATTGTTTGTCATGTTTCGAAAACAGTTGATAATAATCTTCTTCAGATTTATTCAAATTGATCCCATTGTCAGTCAATAACGAATAAAATTCTTGATTTGTTAGAAAGCCTAAAATATATTTGTAGATTAGCGACATCTATATAAAAATAAATTAGTTTATTTAATGTTTTGTATTTGTATATCCAAAAAGAAAAAGTAAATAGAAAATGGTTTAAATGTCTTTCCAAAAAAAAAAGCTTTTTCTTCGTAATTATAAATTCCTGAAAGCGTTCAATTTCTTGCCCATGGGTGAAATTTAACCTGTAATTTTTCGTATCGCTAACACTGATAATAAGAGAGAAAGACATAAATTATATTATGAAGAATTGTTTTCTCCGATGTCTTAAAATTGAAACTATACACTGTAATAGTTATATTGAATAAAGTCATGTCGAAAGGGTAATTCTATAGCAATTTTTTTTTCTAGAATTGTGTTTAATTTGAATACGATTGGTGAACGTTCTCTACCGAAAAGTTAAGCATGAGAAAAAAATGAATGGGAATGAAAAGAAGACTAAGATCTATATACTTAATGTCATTTCTCGATCTACCTATGGTTAATGGAAAAAACAAATGGAGTCTCTTAAAAGCTTGTACTATTTGAATTTAAGAATTATTTTTTTATTGATAAAAATTATGCAATAAGAAAAAATCTATCTGAAATCAATCGTATTTTGTATTCATTTAGAAAATCATTCTAAAACTTGAACTTGCCATTGTCGTAGACAGATAAGATTTCAGCATTTCTATTATCCATTGCTGAAAATAAGTCGCTTGGGCAGAATTCTTATAACTTTTGAAAGGAAAATGATAGAGACCTGGGATTTTCACCGTTGGATAGAGGACATCAGGGCACGTAAGGCTATGTAAAAAAAAGATCTGTTATACAAGGTACGTGTTTATAACTTTTTAATAAATTTGTCGAAAACCGCTAAAATAAGCTTCAAATTTAGAAATCTGAAATTTCCTTTTTCTCACAGGAAATCCTTCTCTTTCAAAAAGGGCAACTTCAACATTTTATCTTGTTGAGTTCAAATGATGCAGAGGCACTGTCTACTGTATATCTGATGTGTGAATCAGTTGTATACTGAGGTTAAATCTCAAGAATAGGCATATTTTATGTAATTTTCATCCAAATTTGATGACGCAGATAACGAGTATTTTTATGGATTGTCCTATTGGTTTTTACATAGACTTATGTGCTCTGATGTTCTCTATCCAACGGTGAAAACCGCAGCTCTCTATGACTTTCCCTTCAAAAGTTATAAGAATTCTGCCCAAGCGACTTATTTTCAGAAATGGATAAATAGTATCAAGGTTAACTTTTTATTGTAATTTTTTTCAAAAAAAATATCAATAATTCATTGAGTTCATCATGATTCATGGATGTCTCAGCAAAAACATTAATTGATAAATGCTAAATTAACTTCTATTTAACATCTTCTCCTATGAATGTTACGCTAATCTGGTTTATCTGAGAGAATATATTTTTTTCACCATTTCACAGTTTGTATCCCATGTATTAGACTATATATAAGACATTATGATACTTTTAAGTGCAGCTATTATTTTTTTTTTATTTTTATTATTTTTCAACAAAAACACAGTATCATAGACAATGACATGATTCATATTTTTATTTAATATTGAAATAAAATCGAAAGATACTATCAATGAAATAGAAATAATGAAATAGAATAGAGTTGCGTATAATAACTCTTCCAGTGATGTTTAATACATAATAAAAATAAAATGAATTTCTTCTCTAAAATTCTTCTTGTTGAAGAAAGAGCCATTTTTTAATTTCAAATCTATGTTGTGCAAGTGCATCGATACATTCTTTCTTTTTAAGAATTGATGATGGTTTGTTCATAATTAATTGGATCTTTCCTTGTGGACAATGATTTTTCAAAAGTGCTATTGAACCATCATAATCATTAGCATCATGATCAACACATATCTTTTTTCGAGCTGCGTCACTATTTGAAACTTCTCCTCTTTCCAAAAGCATACGATCAAGAGCATATGCTCCAAAACCGGCACCTCGTCCATCATCTGCTAACAAAAGAATCATACCTACACCGTATCGAATAATATGTTGTACAGATTGTTTGAAACGATCACGCATGGTCGCATGGCGAAGTGGAAATCGATTGAACAATGATTCCATTTGCAGTCGTACAATAGGATAATGAGACATGCCAACTGTACCATGTGTGAGAACGATAAATTCTCGAGTGCTGATTATATCATAATACACATGGATCTAGAACAATAAAGATGAACTGTAAGAATATTAGACATATACTTCTAGTTCGGCAAGCAAAGTATATACAAAAATATTTTTTTATGTATTTTTCTGTGGAATGGCATTGATAGGCAACAGAATATCTCGAGTTTAGGAAACATTTTAAGAGTATATGTCAACTTACCTTAAACCAATACGGTGTTGTTAGTAATTCACATACAGGATCATTTCGACATTGTTCCTCATGCTTTCGCAAATTATCGACGTCAACTTTGATTAA